CTGTTGGTTATTGTTGGTCGTGATTGTTATATCGGATGTTTTGGTGTTTGCTTTATAGTTAGTATTAGTTTTACTTTAGTATTACTTTAGTGTTAGTTTTGTCATGCAGATATCGCTTGATGAAGTGTAGTGGGAAAGAGTTGCGTAATAAATAGGTGTGATGTTCTTTAGTTCTTGTTAAAAGCCATTGTCAGTGTTGTTAATTTTGTGTGCTCTGTCTATAAGTGTGCATATTAATCCAGTATTGTAAGAAAGCGGTGTGAAGCTGAAGTAGTTCATCAATAGTCCCGAGTAGGTTGGTTTATGATATGTCAAATTACACAAGAAATGCAGCCGCCACTACGACCAATAATCTCAGCAACGAACGCTTACAATTATAATCTAACTAAATATCTCAGTTCCATACTAACACCTCTCATACCAGATGACCACTCTAATAAAGGTTCTTTCACTTTCCTCGACAAATTCTCATCTTTCAACTCATCAAGTTCATGTCACAAATTCTTCATCTCCTACGACGTTGAAAGCCTATTCAATAACACACCGCTTGCTGAAACGATAGATCTAGCCATTGACGCAATTTTCACCGACAACCCTAATTTCACCATGACCAAGACAGACCTAAAACAGCTGTTTTTAATAGCAACGGAACAAACACATTTTTTATTTGATGGAAAATTTTATGACCAGACCGACATTGTTGCGATGGGTTCTCCCCTAGCACCTATACTTGCAAACATTTTTATGGGTTCGCATGAACGAAACTGGATTACTAACTACAACGACACAAAACCATTTTTCTACCGCAGATACGTTGACGATATTTTTTGTGTTTTTACAAACGAGCTGAGGCTATGAACTTTTCAGTTACAACAACAAACAACCCACGAACATTAAATTTTCTTTCGAAACTGAAAATCAAAACCAACTACCTTTTCTGGACATTTTATTAACAAAATCACATGACACCTATACAACGTCGACGTATCATAAACCAACCTACACGGAACTATTGACGAACTACTTCAGTTTCACACCACTTTCATACAAGACTGGATTAATACGTACACTTATAGACAGAACACACAAAATTAACAACAATTACAATGGCTTTAAACAAGAACAAAAGAACATCACAACTATTTTATTATGCAACTCTTTCCCACTATACTTCATCAACAAAACTGTCTAACAATATCTCCATGACAAAACTAATACTAACTGCAAAGCAAACACCAAAACATCCGATAGAGCATTCAAGTTCAACAACAATGAACAGTCTATAAAAACTCTTTAATTTAAACTACCGGACATCGGAAATCATTCACGACACACACATGCAGACTTACAAACATCATCAAACGCTTCTGCACTGACATTAACATCCGACTAATTTTCACTTCCTTCAAAATCAAAAACTACTTCTCATTTTAACGATCCTATCCCTGATTCTATAAAATCTATGGTGGAATACCAATTCGATTGTGCGGGATGTAATTCCCGATACATTGGCGAAACTTCACGTCACTTATCCACCAGAATCAGGAACACACCACAACTGACAAAACTCACACATCTTTCGACACTTTTAAATTCACCTTCATCCAAAACTAGCTATTCCCCTCTTGCTTTAAAATCATCGACACTGCAGATACTACATTCCACTTAAAATCAAACAAATTCACCAAACCGAACAAAACATTTTCGTAGAGTATCAAGATGTTTTCAAAGGTATTGGCCTTGTCAATGGTGAATACCACATCGAAATTAAAAGTGATGCTAAACCTACAATTCATCCACCAAGAAAAGTCCCACTGAGTTTAATGCCACGCTTGAAATCAACACTATAAACAACAAGTGCGTACATTAGCTGACTCCGTCATTGTACAAAGTGTGCCGAAGACGATGCGTGAACGCGCGACGGCAATACTCAACGTCTTAAAACATATCCGGATATAATAACGTGGGATGATTCAGGACAAGTCAAACTTGACGGTGTTATTATCCCTCAATCAAATATATCAGACCTCATTAGCGACGCTGTAAGAGGGAGAAAGAATTTCAATCCTACAGGTTCTAGAATTCTTTCGCGTTTTATCAAAAATAAACATTCCTCGTGATTTGGTTCGGAACGATGTAAGATGGGAAGAAGCTCAAATGGAAACTTCGCCCGATGAAGAAGATGGAATAGCCCACCACAGAGGCTCAAGAACGAAAATGACAACACCTAAACCTTCCTCTACACTAAAGAAAACTCGTTTACGTTGGATAGACTATTAAAATTTGACATGTAAAGATTTGTTTTGTTTAAATAAATAGAGCAGTTGATATCAATTTCCTGATTGTTATCATTAGAATATTCAAATAGAAAACACAGGCAATTAGTTTACACAAAAAAAAATTTATTGATAATAAACGCATCAAGCTTTTACAACAAATTTTATACTTGACTGAATGCCATCGTTTAGAGTTACACTAGTTTCTATATGAAAATGTCTGCTAAGGAAACTTGATACGTTCACTCTAAATTTCCAAGTGTACAGCAAACACCGTATAGGTGTAAATTTACACAACTTTTGTGTAAACGGGCAAATTACACCTCTGCGAGTGTTATGTTACCTTTTGAGGTGTATTTTGTTCCAACAAAAGTGTTAGGTTTACACTGATTTGGTGTAGATCGTATATTACCTATATCTGGTGTAACTTTACACCAGACTTTGATCAATAATCACTATTAATGTGTGTTATAACAATGTAGTCATGCTTCTATGGAAAGTCGGCTTTCGCTTTATGGAAACACTTGTACAAAAATATAAAACATTAAAAGCACTAAATTTCATTTATGGAAAATAATATACTTGTATGTTACATGGTTTATTAATTTTCACAATCTGAGATGTCATATCTCATTCTTACATATTTTCTCGAGAATCCATGTCTATTTATTGTATATACATTCAATGGATGATAGTCTATTAGATCATCATATTTAACCGTCTCAATATTGTTGAGTATTGCTATTTCGTATGAGTGTAGGTTTTAACATATTTCAATGTATGCATTTGTTTACAAATAAAATGCATCCCCATTAGCAATGACTATATCTTCGATCATCAAGATACATGGCAGTATTGATTGCTTATAAACAAGTGCAGTTCGTTTGTGGTACTTGCTCCATGAATTGATATCAATTAGCCCTGAAAGTAGACAGTGGTAAACTTTGAGTCACGACAGTCGGTAAATCATTTGCAGGCAAAACAATTGATTTCATAGGAACTTAGTACGGCATATCTTGCATAATATAGTCCCCCCCCCAATTATCGATTTTCAAGTGTGGCCCAAGGCAGTGAACTGGGTACAAGGTACAACAAACAACGTGTTTAAGATGGCGGAGCAAACCTATATAAATGAGGTGAGAATGTATGCAGTGTACACTATGCAACTTTCCAATATTCTTGATTAAAGGAGGTCAATTAAATGTTTTGATGTCCAGGAAACTAAAGATGATCGTGTGAGACAAGACAATCCTCAAGACTTAGGACAAAGAAGTGATGAAAAAGGTTAGAAGTAGCACACTGACACAGCAATAGAATGTTTTAGCCTTCAGAACAAAAACACAACATTGCTGCTCTTATTTTCTTACATTGTCTATAAATTGTGAGTCAACTTTAAAGTGCACCTCCAGGCAAAATTTTTATTGGTTATATCGAATCTATGTATGATGGCCAGCATATATGCGAAAAATTTTTAAATCGGTTATATCTTTCCTTTTTATGGCGGTTTGAAGTTGACAAAATGCACTTCTTGATGGACCATGTCCGTCGTTACAAGAACCTGAACGAGCAAATTTTATGACGTCACGCAAGGTACTCGTCAAAGTAAGGCCGTTGTTTCTAAATACATTACGTGCAGTTTTGAAAACTAAAACATGGTTAATAGCTGTGTGGCGGCAAATTGCAAGAATAAGTCATGTCTTAGTTCCGGTATAAGTCTCCACACAATACCCTACTTTAATGACAATCAACCTGAAGCCAGGAGAAGAAAAATATGGTTGACTTCGTCAAAGCAAAACGGGTCTTTGAACCTTCGAAGACGTCGACCCTTTGTTCGGCACATTTTACGCCCGAGGATTTCGAGCGACGCTTTGCTATTTTGCCTGGTCAAACAAAGCCGAATTACCAGAAGCTAAAGAGCGATGATCTAGGGGTTTGTGTTTATCCCAGCATACATGCTGTGGCGGTGAAAAGTTCCAGTGAACTGGTCGTGCAAAGTGCTAGAGATAGACGCATGGTGAGTAAGTTTTGATTTGATTCAACATGTTTTTGTTTTGAATTTATTTGCAATGTTTAGTCCTACTATGTAATTTTACTTAAAATATACGTTTTCTTTTCATGTGAAGATGATAAAAGTATGCAGCAAGGAAAGGCATGTCCATCTGAAGCATCAGGGTTGCCAACGGCAATGGGTATGATTTGCTTTCATAAAGATGCCAATATTTTTCTGTGAGAAAACTAATCTAAAGGTTAATCATTTTAATAGGTATTCAGTGTAAGAAAAGAAAGCTTGAGACAAAGGAAAGGCCTAATGAAATTATTATGGATGAGCCAGTAAATGTAATTATTATGTTCCAACATGTTCAGGTTTGTGCTCTATAATCAAAGTTAATCAGTGCTTTATTATTCTCTTAGAATTCCTCAGAAACAAGAGAAATGAAAAATCTTCAAGAAAGCAACCGAAGACTGAAAAACAGAATAGTTTCTTTGCAAACATCTGCACAAGGAAACAAATACAAAGTGAAGCAACTTAGACGCAAAGGTGAGCCCCATATTTCACACACATTTTGCAATCCAAAAAGCTAAACATATATAAAGCAGTATTGTTTGATTTCTAGTAAGCCAGCTTGAAGAACGTTTGGAGGAAAGTTGATGTTTGAAGATAGCAGTGGGAAGGAGCAAAGTGAAAGGGGGCAGAGGTGATTGAAGATGACAACTTAGACAGCAATGATGAAGGGGAAATCATGGAAGAAGCAGATGATGAGTATGATCCTTTCTATGAGGGAGAATGCTAACATTGAAGATGATGAAGAAGAGCTTATTGAAGAAGATTCAGAGTTAGTATTTCCTATTTTCTTATAGTTTAAATATTTTACATTGGAATTGTTTGACATGCTTACTCAATAGCAGCTTAACTGCGATTTGCGAATTCATTTTTTCCTGCTATATGAAATATTTTAGAAAGACATTAAATAATAAAATTTTGTTCATGACTTTGTACTTTTGCTTCAACTAGGTTATTGCAAGTTACTGGGAATCTGCGGACAGAACCCAAACACATTGTGTTTCTCTCACAACTGTTGCTACTTTTTAATTTTTGCCACGCCTGCAAGACTGAAAATCCAATAGTTGAAGCTAAAACTGTTGGGTCTAATGTCATAATAAAAACAACTTGCCATAACCCAAAATGCCCTGAAGAAACTAAAACATGGCAAAGTCAACCACCAATGCCTGGATATCAAAAAACCCGTGCTGGAAATTTTTTATTGTGCATGGCAGTACTGCTTAGTGGTGGATCATTCACCAAGTTGAGACAAACTTTCTTGAACATGGGTATTGGATGTGTCTCTCACAGTACTTACTTTCATTATCAGCGGGTGAGTATGAACAAACCATTTTACAAGAATGAGAAAAAAGTTTTCATTGTAGCAGGATTTCTGAATCATGTGCATTCAGAAATATATTTTAATTGATTTGTAATCAATTTTCTAGACTGTGCTGTTCCCCACCATCTATCTGTACTGGAAGAATTATCAATCAAAGTTGTTGGAAAAGGCAAAGCAAATAAAAGATGGTGTGGTCCTTGCAGGGGATGGGCGGCATGACAGCATGGGTCATTCAGCCAAGTTCTGTGCATACACAATTTTTTGTTGCACATTTGCAAAGATCATTCACTTCAATATTGTGCAGGTAACAAAAAATGTACATTATTAACAATTGATAACAATTACTTAAATTTACTTATGAGGTGTTGTTTTGTTTTTTTAGAGAAACCAGGCCGGAAGTAGTCCAGCAATGGAGTTCATGTCGTTTAAATTATGCATGGACTACCTTCTTACATCTGCTGTTCCCATTACCACATTCATCTCTGACAGGCATACCTCAATTGCAAAATATATGCGGCAAGATTTAAAGAATATCATACACTATTTTGATGTATGGCACTTGAAAAAAAGTAAGTGTATTTGATTTTCTATTCAGGCCTCTTGAAAGTATGAAGTTGTCACTGAACTATTAACATCACTGAATGTCTATAAAAGAGGTATTGTTTCACTGTCATTGTTTCCACTTTTTGACATAATTTTTCTGGTTGGATGTTCTGTTACATACAGAAATTAGGAAAGTGCTTTCCAAAATTGCCAAAGAGAAGGACTGCGAGGCATTACACGATTGGATCAGGCCAATTGAGAATCACCTGCATTGGAGTGCCACCTCGACATTTGATGGGAATGGCCTTGTTATATTGGCCAAATTCAAGTCATTCCTACAACATATTGTAAACATACACTATGTCACAGTAACCCGTTGTTTGCAAAATGTGCCCATGGTAGTAGCATTCCAGATAGAAAGTGGCTGACCGTTGGTAAGTTCAAATAATGTATATATATTTTGTGTAAACTGTGTACAATGAACACTATGCCAAAGATCAAAATATGACATTATTTCTTAGTACATGTACAAATGGTGGTGCAGCCAGCCACATAACTTGACCAAATCTGGAGGCTAGCAATTTTAATTTATACAAGTACAGGTTTAATATAAAATGGAGTTACATGATTTAATTTGTTTTATATCTAGATTCACCCTTCATAAAAAGATTTGCAATGCTTTGACAAACAAACGACTGGTAGATGGGATCAAACAAGCTTCTCCATTAGAACAAACTAGCTGTTTGGAGGGCTTTCACAGTGTTTTAAATCATTTTGCCCCCAAAATGATTGCATACTGTTATGCTGGACAGTATTGCAGGTGGGAAAATGAACTATCATTTACTAAAATGTCTGTTGTTACTAGTTATAGTTGTATATAATACCTTTTACTCAAAACACAGTTTTTCTTTTTATTAAAGGACAAATAAGATGAAAGCAAAGAGCAATTGCAATTTATGTGAATCCTGTTTTTAGGCATATTTTAGCTGTTGTGCACTTTAACAACAACCTCAGGAGAGAAATCAAAACAAATCCTGACCAATCAGAAAGAGTCAAAATTAGCTACCCAAAGTTTAAAATGGGAGGCCATAATTCGAAATGTTACAGTTGCACAGAATTTTGGTAAGTTTTTGATTATCTAGATGATGTAATCCTGTTGTTTGAAGATGTTTGGAAATAAAGACATTAAACATTATTTGCAGGATATGTGCAAGACATTTATGAGAATTTTCTGTCAGCTAGCAAGAGGGACATGGCTGATGCAATGGTAAAGCTGAAAGAAATGTGCCCGCCTCCAATGAATTCAATGCTTACTAAGCAAACAAAGCAAGAAGCATTGAAGAAAAAGTCTGACAGGATGCAAATCACCGTCCAACATTTTCAACCCAGTATTCCAGGTAAGATTTTTATGCTAAAAGATTGTTGTTCATAATTTGTTCTAGTTTTGACTAAACCACATTCAAATTTGGATTTGTACTCAGTGAACATGTAAACACTAGATAAATTTAGTTGTCAAAACCTGGAAAGCTTAATTTGTCTTTTGCAGTGTTACAATATCAAGAACAGTTGAGGAGAGACAACAGTAAAGCAAGTACTGGTGATGTGACACCCAGACATTGCAGAACATGTGGACAACCAATGAGGGGTCACAAAAATGTCAAAGATTGTCCAAAAAACTATAGCTAAAGGAGCATCAACCTACCAATTTAGTTTTCACCTGTCCATAAAATTATAAGCAATACCTCTTTTAAGATCTATATTTTACAATGCACTCTCACCCCAGCTTTTTTTTACATTTTTGCATTCTTTATACATCTTGGAAAATTTAACTAATCTGAATCATCAGAATATCCAGTAAAATTTTCTTTATCAACTACTGGAAAAGTTTTCTTATTGCCATGTAGGCACATGCAGGTAGTGGAATCGCCTATTACCAAGGAGACCATATACCAGTCTTGTAAATTCTCTATAGAAGATGCTGCGTGAAAGCTAAAATAGAAACTTCAGTATTAGATTATGTGAATTAATGAAGTCCATTGTGGGATTATATGTTTTATGATTTGTTCATGAAAGAACTACCTATTCTGTCCTGAAATTCTAGTGTATTTGCTTTTATTTTTCGTTTTCAACTTGCTGGCAGCCATCTTCAAACTCCACTTTTCAAGGCATACGGAGTTAAATCCAGGATGTTGAATGATGCATTTCGCATTAATTATACCTTCGGCTTGGAGATCGCTAATCACTTCGTCGCTTTTCATTGCTTCATGGCATCCATCAAGTTCAAAACAACAATGGCATTCGTTATTGTTTACGAGTAGCGTCACATCACAATTTCCGCACTGACACCACTCGTCCACTTTTACAGAGCCGTCCAGTCTTTTGCCGAGCTTTTCTTGTAGTTCTAAACGTTTTTGTTCCTGACTGTTGTAATTTTCCAACCACTCTTCATCTGCCAAAGGCTCGTCAGCATATGCTAGGCCCACGTTTTCTTGATTAAAATCTTTGTTAGAATTTCTAACCTCAGAACATTCGATCATGTAACCGGGAATAAAATTAATATCGGAGTCGTCAGACTGATAATCCTCCGAATCACATTCCCAATCTATTACATCCTTATCCATGATAGCTCTGACAAAAACAAACTACATCTTCGTCCGACCACGTGCAACAAGATTGTATATGCCTAATAAGCGCATTTATCTGAGACAATCAAAGAAAAAAGCCGACTACCTTGCATGACGTCAGAAAATGCGCTAGACACAGACTCCTTGATACGAAGGACAGGGTCCTCAAAGGCCAATTTTTAAACCGCCATAAAAAAGGAAAGATATAACCGATTTAAAAAATTTCTCGCATATATGCTGGCCATCATACATAGATTCGATATAACCAATAAAAAATTTTGCCTGGAGGTGCACTTTAATTTTGCATAGAACAAGTTTTATTGCGGGAAAAATAATTGTTAATTTCAAATCTTATTTGTATTAGGTATGACAGTTTCCATGCAACAAACCATGGAGATTGAGAAAAATAAAAAAAATAAGAAAAGGAAAAGAAAGGCAAAGAGAAAAGATAAAAAGTAAAGATGGATGATGAACAAGAATGTCATTCTGATGACACTATCATCCTGGAGGTTTGTGCTATTCGATGATGAAAAAGGCCAAGATGAGGACAATTACTTTTTGTACACAGTCAATATTATAATAAAAATAAAAAAAGAGTTTCAAAATTTTAAATACTTACATGTACACCTTTGTCTCTGGAGTGAAAAAATCACAGATCTGACGAGAAAGACTAAGATATTTCTCAGGTGAAATTTCTTTTAGTTCGATAGTTGAACCTGTTGGTATGAAGACACAGTATTGTATTGCAAAACTTATCCACCATCTTAATATTTAAGAAAACAAACAAATAATCACCTGACCCAGTTTCTTGACTGGTTTCAAATAGGCATCTTCTTCACACAACCAATAGCACTGAAGACGTTGATGCCTTATTGCCAAAGTCTTGGACAGGTTCTTGAAGTTCTTCATTCCATGTGCCAGTTGTGTAAATTGGCAATGTTTGGCCTCAAATCTCATGCACCACTGACGAACAAGTGGCCCATTCCTATGATAAAATGCGTGTATGAATTTATAGAAATTCTAGCATTAATCACACAAACATAATAAGTAAAAAGCAGCATTTATACTAGCATGTTCTGAACAGCAACACAAAAAAAACAACATTAATGTCAACATAGCAATGTATTTTCTTTATGGAAACTGCCTAACTTTTCAGTAAAATTTTATGAAAGGTCAGTAAAGGGTGGAAGACACTATAAGTCAATATTGAAATACCAATTTGTGCAATAGGGCCTCAGAACAACATAATTATATTACCTTCTTATTTGAGCAGGATAGTGAACCATAAAATGTTGCTTTGGAATCAATTTAGTATCTGGATAAAGATGTCCAATTCTTCCAGATAGTCTTTTATAAAAACTGCCAGATAATAGGTTGTCTCCTTTCGAATGACTGGTGCAATGACGATGTCAACAAGCTTCATCAAATCACCGAACAGTTCCCAGTCAGGGTTATGTTCAGGCACAAAGTCATAAATAATCATAGGCAGCAGCCTGGAGAGGCACCACATTTGGGAAGCTATGTAAATATTAAAACCCATGGTGATCATTGATTAATTATTGAGTAATATCATTGAAAAAGTCACACAGCAGTACCTGACTGACGCATATTGTAGTCTGACAAGGTCAAATTCTTGAGCAAACTTGGTTTGTTCCTAAAGTCATTAGGTCCATATGGAAAGCCTTTATTTCGACGATTAAGTTCATCTAGAGTGAACATTTTCTCTTTAAATATAAACTTTCTTAGCATTACTTTTAAATGCAAAGGCAAAACTCCCTCAAGGATGTCATGCATGATATCTGAAGGAAGACCATCAACCACATGATAATATTTCGAACAATTTAATAAGGACTGTGTCTTGACACCATAAATAGAAGCAGAATTTGGATCAATTTTTGAAAAGGCAGCATGCCGGTCATACATCTCCTGGAGCATGGTAAACTCTTCTTCTGTGAACTAAACAAGACAACAGATTTTTGAAGTTTCAGGCATCATAAAAAGATGATAGCCTTACTCAGTTATAATGCCAAAACCTGACTTAGGCAGTTCATTTTCACAGTACTTTCAAAACATGACATTAGTCAATTTATAATTTTGCTGTGGCTAAAATGCAAAAAGTATAGCAAGAGCCAACATTTCCTCTAGCTGGTTATGCCTTGGCAGTAATATGCTGAAATTTAATAGAACTACCTTTGTTTGAAATTCATCCAATATACCCATACAAAATCGACATGGCCTTTTTGCTGAAAAGCTCTCCATAAAGCCTCCGATACCATTGCTGCCAAGGTTATCTGCTAAAACCAAGCTCAAGGTACCTTCAAAAGATCTAATGGACTGCCCTATATTTAGTTGAACCCCATTTTCCTGTAAAGGGAACGTTGAATGGTCAGATTGTTCTTTTCTGTTTGTTGATACATAAATTATCAAAAAGCTGCAACAAAATGAAATTTCAACACTTACTGATTCTAGCAATGCCACATCAGCCATCAAAGGCTTCAAAACTTTTGCCATACTATACTTTTTTATCCACTTCACAGGGCACAATATGGCAAGATTCAACATTTTAAGGGATGATCTGTACTTTGGATGTATATTTCCTAAAATCCAATAAAATCGACCTATAGAAAAAAATCAGAAGTACTTTAGCATTGATGGGCATGGAATAACATAGCCTTTATTGCTATACCTAGCTTGTGCACAGTTGCCTTTGCTCTAAAGGATTTGCTACTTCAAAGTCATCATAGTAAAGAAGAATCTGAAGAGCCTTATGGTTGACTGAAAACAGTGGATGGCGACCAGGATTAAACTGCTCTCCATCACAAAAGTCTCATATTCCCATCTAAACTTTGGTGAGGGTTACTGAACCTAACAAAAATTAACAGAAGTTACAGCAGCATATTAGTTTTGCATTTGTAAACTTTACTTTAACAACATTTCTTACTTGTGACATGATGTCAATTTGATTAAGCAATTGCTCCAAGACCTTTATTATTGGAATATACTGAAAGGAGTGTTTCTTCACTTCGAACTGACCATTCACTTCATAAGTTACCACCTCTTCTCCAAGCACTATTTCAATTGGGTCCCACAAAATAAGTAGATAATACATTTAGGTAGTAATTAATACATTATACTATCATGTTCTTATAAGAAGTATTAGAATACTTTAAATATGGTGGTACGTATTTAATGTTTCCCTTAAATACTTGTTTCCATCCTTTGATGTCTGCAATACTTTTTTTGATGCAGAAAGTGAGGGTGGTGACTCAAGTAATTCTTCGAAACCTTCTATATCTTTAATGTCAACACTGGAATGATCGATGCATAATTTGACTTGCTTTTTTAAATAGTCCTCGTTTTGCTCCATTAACTGATAAGTATTTTCAAGCACTGCATCCGTTGCAGTGTCACCAAGTTGATTGAATTCCTGTGTCTTCAAAGCAAACAATGCCATTTCCTTGACTGAAATATCGTATTTTGTTTGTTGTTGCAACCCATCTCAATTGAGTCCAGTGTCGAGTCTGCCACTAGATGGTCATTGTCTTGCGTAATATCGCCGTTCATATCATTGACTTCACAATCAACTGCATAATCAAGGTCACCTTTATGTTTTCGACGCATATGAGATGTTAAAGACGATATCAGTGAATAGGACCAACAACACGAGTCAAACGGACATTTAATCTTGAAATTGGGTTCATGAACATGATAATCTCGAACATGACTCATATATCTCTTGAAAGAGGCAAATGATAGATGCGAGCAATGTATGTTTATACATTTAAATTCTTGCTCTTTTCTTCTGGCCATTGAACATATCTGAAGAAACGACTGCGAAAATTGCTTTGATTATTAATCACTAAATGGATCAGCATTTACCGTGATTAGCCATAGGCGGCTCAGAAATAAGTCCGACTTTTGAGTAGAATGTAAACCATAATTATTCCATTTTTGATCCCAGTATCATTATAACCGCCGGCTCTTTACCATAAACGTGTCGTGTGCAGTGTGTATAGCCATTCACAATTTGACAGTTTGTTCTGATTTAACTTGAAAAAGTATTTCGTTCGTCCTAAATCTGTTGAAAATGGGGTCTACACTTAAAGAAACATTTTCTGTTGAAGAAGTTGTGAATTGGCTGGATTTAAATGGTTTTCAAGACATCAGCCAAACGTTTTGTGGTAGGCATTGACTTTGCAATTGCATCATTTGTATTTAGTATTTTGATTATTTTACTACTGCAATAAGATTCGAATTCGGTTCAGTTTGGGAAACTTTTGTGTTGCGCTGTACTATTGCGATGTCAACCGAAGGTACCATGTGCTATTTTACCGCTATATTTTATTCCTCATCGTGCGAGTTCTAAATCCGTGACTTTTATTATTCGATCGATCGTTGCTACTTGAAAACAAATTCTATATTTTGATATCAAAATTATACTTAGACGAGGGCATTGATGGCGATGCAATGTCCTGCTTGACGGAAGATGCCTTAAAATCATTGGTTGTCAGGATTGGCCCCAGGATGAAGTTATTGAAAGCCATCAAACAAATGAACACTAGATGCTCGACTTCTACATCTGAGTCTGCTAGTGACTTATCTACATGTGATATGCTGGCAAAGTGGCAAGACTCCAATTCTCAAGGAAATGCATCAAATCCTGGTGGGCAATCTGGTGTGTGTGAATCACTATCAAGTGCAAGGTAATGAATTGTATTAAAAGACACTGAATTGTAAATATATCTATCATGAGGATGCCTGTGTGTGTGTTTCATAGCAGTGACAACTCAGTAGCAAAAGGCAGAAAACAATGGACATCGCCGTTTGTTCTTCCTGACTATTTCCGCCTTTGGTTGAAGAAACACTTGCAAAGAAATTGAGAATGCCAAAGCAAGTTAGATGCAAGTTCATACAAACAATTTACGACAAAATTTGCCTATTTACTGTGTAAGTTCATTCCATCATTTATATTTTCAGCAACTTTCTCTTGATTTTATCCTGCTGTGGTGTATTATGGCATATTTGTGTCATGGAGAATGGCTTTTGTTGTATAGTTCTCCACTCCAGACCAAAGGCGAGATGTTTGTCGTGCAATAATTGCAAAATACCCTTTTCTTTCTGATGCAAGTGGTGGCTATGTAAGTCTTTTATTTATAATTGTATATAGTCTTTTCTTATTATTCATCATGTTTGTATAGTTATAATAAAGAAAAAGACATTACAAAAAAAGCTGAAATCTGTATTGTTTGTCCATAAACTTGCATACTGATGGCTTGAAGAATTTTATGACAGGTTTCATACAGGCAATTTTAGTGAATTACTCATATGTGATTACCTTTTTAGGAAATTTGGTATCGGTACCTTGGTGAGAAAGTTAAGAATGAATTAAGACATGAAAGAGCAGACCCTGTTGTCCTATCTAGAAAAAGAAAAAATGTTGATGGCAGTCCAGCTGCAACTAAAATCAGAGCAGCTGTTCGACGAGGAATTGTGAACTGGGCACCTCCACCAATAGATGGCGAGGACGATGTCTGTTCCCAAGCACATGTTTAAATTGAAATTGAAAAGAAAACAACCCAACCTCACTTTGGTAAACAAAAAGATGGAATTGAAATATTCCTTTAGGAGGCGTATGATAAATGAGGAAAAACATTTGCTGAAGGATATTATGGAACAATATCCTTTCCTGTTTAAAAAAGCCCATGTATGTATTATTCAATACAAATGCATGTTTTGTACATGTTGTGTAATCCTCATTTGATTTTTATAGCTAAAATCTGAGTACAGTCGTTTGATGGCAGATAGCTCGGCTGCTGATTGTATTCAAGGCAATTTGCTAGAAGTATCACCCAACATTATCAGAGTAGCAGAGCAAAGGAAATTTGTTTCAGAAGAAGCTAATAAGCTGCTGCTTCTTTGTAAACCTACAAATGACTCTAGTTGTAATGATGATGAAGAGAATGAAAATATTTTATCTGCAGGTAAAAACTGCAGATAAAATATACATGTCTCACTATGTATGTATAGAACATGCTCACTATGTATAGAACATGCTCACTATAGAACATGCTCACTATATTTATAGAACATGCTCACTATATTTACATGTATAGAACATGCTCACTAGAACATGCTCACTATATTTACATGTCTCACTATGTATGTATAGAACATGCTCACTATATTTACATGTCTCACTATGTATGTATAGAACATGCTACATATGTACTGAGTTATTATTTAGTCATTTTGACTTGAAATATTTAAATAAATCGTCTTTTGTGCCCATCTGGTCATGCTGTTTTCCCTGAAAAAAATTTGTCATGCCTTTGTTTTTAAGTAAAGTGCAACTGATCAATTTAATATCTGTTTATTTTTAATGCATGTTTTATTACATTACATAGAGAACAAAACTTTTGTTGCAATGTGTTTGTTGCCTCATTTACTGGAAAGGAAAACAAAAACTAATAAAAGTCCTGAGTCTTACTTTTACCAGGTTAGTATTGATTGCAGAATATGGATATTTGTATTGAAACTCAAATAATGCAGTGCCTAACTGCTTGATTAAATTTTTTGCCATGGCAGCAAGACCTGGAATGGCCCCATTTTTGGTTATCAGTGGCTCAGTGGATGATCCCCATCCGATGATATAACTGTAGTTGCGAAAACCACATTGTAACAAGGTCTGCAGGAATTCTGGATGCACTGGAGTCAATGCTTATATTGTATTACGTATGTAATATTCAATAACCTAAAGAATGTGTCAACACATTTCATTTCCTGCGAGAAATATCATGAAAGTGTTTGACACCCAAAAGGTGCCGACAAAGGTGTTGGTGTTAATGTCAGAGTTATCGCAACTATGAACCAGAATGTGAACAATAAAATATATGGTTATAGTACAGGATTTAATGATATAATGTAGTTTTATTTAAAGTTTTGTTAAGGTTTTAAATAGTTATGTAAGTGGGGTTACATTTAATAACTTTGTAGTATTTATTATGCTGAAATTTACTTTCATGATACATTTATATGCTATTTTGCTCTTTGTTTTGTTTTTCAGAGCGTTGTCAATTCAATTTAAGAATGCACTGTCTAATGTATATGTTTACACTACTCTAACTATGCTTACACATAAGTAGTTAAACATACACTAGAGATATTACACCATTAGAGTGTATTATTACATCCCATTTGTATATTTACCTTTGAGGTGTATATTTACACTCTCTTGATGTAAAAAATGAGGCAAGAGCAAATACACCCGATGGGTGTATTTTTACAATGTCAATTTACACCTCTTTGGTGTTCCTACAGAGGCAGAAATTTACACCATTTTTCGTGTTCACAGTACACTTCGAAATTTAGAGTGTTGTTATCGTTCTCAACAGTATACCATCAAACATGTTTACAATCTTATTCATGCTATATCCTCGCACTCTCAAATAATCTCTAAAGAACCTATGATATCGTCCCGGTGGTTGTCCATAGCTATCGAAGAATTCGGCTTTTCCTTCAGAAGGGAAGTAAAAGGCAACCCAATGGGTCCCCGGTTTTCCTCTTACATCCTTGTTTGCGATAAATCCTTTGGGGTAGCTTTCGATTTCTTTAGGCAGACGATTGGCTGGAAAATCACCGAGAATTTTTTTTCCTGTTACCGGATCAGATTTCAAAGGTCCTTATTTGTAAGGTGTTCATTTATCCAAAGTAGTCATAAACGACATGTCTTTCGCCGTTGATTTGAATTATATTTTCAAACTCTCCATAGCAGATAAGGCTAACTGCATGAGTTGGCAGTGTTGAGAATGTTGAATATGTCGGGTTCCGAATGGTTTAGAACGATTTATTTTATTTAAGAAAAACGAGTTCTACATAAGATAGCTCAACAACAATAATCAACCTCACTAGAAATACTTCTATATATATAGCACGTTTTGTTCATAACACCATATTTGGTATATGGTCAGCGGTTAGTATATTTAATACGAATGCTACTTTAAATAACATCAACAGAGAATTGTAAGCCAATGGCCAGGTTCCTTTTTGCACCGTGTTAAAATGTTCGGATGCACTGCACATATCGGAGGTTAAGTCCGCCCAAACAGGGCAAAACCGTTTGGGAAATCTTCACGCGTAATGCCATTGCCTGTGTCGTAATACATTTTCTCAGTGGCGAACTGCGGTAGAAGTGCTTCTATAAATCGGATTCGCACCAAAGGACAAATTGATTGGTTTAAATGGTACAGATTCACCATTTATTGAAATGCCTAACGATAAAATGTTGAAATGTTGGAAATTGAATGGGTCCTTTTATAAGCTCCGTTGAATGGCGACTTTCAACAAGACCGAAAACAAATGATTTAGGTACTAAACCATTGAAAAGGTTATCTTTTTGCAACGAAGGGTTTCCAGAAGGAATGATAAAAGTTTTACAGTTCACACGTCTTACTGGGTAAATGGCTGGACCTTTTTCAGGGCAACCTCATGAGCCAGAAATATACTATGATTCACTTTGACTTCTGAACTTTAAAGTATGCATCTATCAGTTTCACTCTAAAGGCTGCATCGTCCACCATTGACATTAAGACAAATTCGTCACTGGTACGGTTCATGACCACTTTCAAATCAACATAGCTAAGTAAGAGACATTTACCAAAGAAAACATCACAAAAGATAGGACCTGCCATATCAACAATTTTACTTCCCATAAACTAATTTCTTGTCTTCAAACCCCTGTTTGGACTTGCGTGGGCAGGATCTGCATTATCCATCTGACCTGCAGTATCTTTGTAAAATAACGCAGCAGTGAGCTGGGATTGTTTGGTTGGTGGACCATAATTTAAAAGTGTGCCGAGATATGCACGATATGGATATGTTCCTGTTGCTTGTGTAACTAACTTTCCTTTTAGAAACACTTCAACTTGCTTGAACAAATTGTGCAAGAAATTGTTTACAGGTCCAACTTTAGTGTCATCATTGATATCCCACCATCGGCTTTTGTTTACTTTCATTCTAGCTACCAATATTGTCTTAGACATGTCAACATAATCTTCTGTGCGGGCAATAAAATGTAATTGGTCCATTTTCAGATCGCTGGACACAGGTTGATGATCAATCAATGCCCTTTTCTAATTTGACTTGTGTTGGTGGGACAGAAAATAAATCAAGTTCGGTTTTTTATACATTCTACAGATTTTGAAGAACGAAATCCATATTTAGCCGAAAAGTCCTCTGCCTCTTTAGCTGCTTTATGTCTCTAGGCTGAACTGTGAATGGCAATGGAAGTCGTCGTCTTTCTCTTTTTAGCTGGTTTCCTTGTCCGTTTCTTTGAAGACTTTCCTCTTCCTTTTTGAGCAGACTGCTACATTCTGTTTACAGCCATTTTTCCCACATCTTTAGCAGCCTGATTTACTCGCGATTTTGCAGACTCTTTCACACTTTTCCGGAGATTGCTCCTGTGTTATAGCAATTTTATCTAGAGCTTTTGCACGCTTTTGCCAGAGGTATTACAGCTCTAGCCAAACTGAAATAAGCTGCCAAGACCATAACCCTTGCTCATATCCTCTTTGTAAGGTGCTCCTTTAAACACTGGTTATGAACTGTATTCTTGTTGTTGGTTGAGATAATATTGAGACATGTGATTTGTTAGAGTCATATTTCTTATGTAAAATAAGACGAACTTGCTTTCTGAAATGAAGTGTCACTATCGACTTCCCTCGTTCAAATGCGATGGGATTTTCTAACTTGTCCCTAAGAGAATTTGATGTCCTCAAAGATTTTGTTTGCACGGGTAAGTATTGTTTATTAGTGAATGTTCTTGAAACAATGTCTCCATATTTTCCTTTAATAGCAACTGCCTTTAGTAATTTTACATTGACATCTCCAACAACTTGGTTTGTACAATGTTGCAATATACATACGTCATGACGGATCCGTGCAAATCAGAAGCATAAGCACTTTCAGTTGTTTTGAAATCTCTACTTCTTTTCCAAAGCCGAGTAAAGGCGGATCTCCACTAGACGATTTTTTGACGAACATCTTAAAAACTTGCTGCGCCACATTCGCAGTACGAAACAAAAATCGTCAACAAAATCGTCAAAGACAATTGCGAATTGCAATGTGAAATTGAGAAAATGGCGGATGTGAATCAAACTTTAATGCATTATTTACTTCTTGAAGGCATTTGATTTTACTGCATGCATGTAGAGTAAGATCCATGAAAACAAAGCGGACCAAGATTTTGGATGCGTAAACTGTACGAGGAAAGAAATGAGAAAGGAGAGTACAATTTGCTGGTTAAAGACTTGCGATTATACGATCATGAAATGTTTTTCAGATATTTCAGGATGTTACCTGACACTTTGAGACCTTGTTGGGGTATATTGCCCCGATGATAAGAAAGAAAGAGACGAAAATGCGAGAACCAATAAGTGTAGATCAAAGACTTTTAGTCACTCTGCGATATTTGGCAACTGGGGATGCTCATACAACTATCGCTGCCAATTATAGAATGAGCTCAACGACTGTTGGTCGAATTATCTACGAAACATGCAACGCACTTTGGGACAAACTAAAGGAAATGGGTTTCATGAAAACACCTTGCACTGAAAGTGACTGGAAAAAATATCTAAAGATTTTGAAGATCGATGGAACTTTCCTAATATGCTGGGAGCAATTGATGGAAAGCATGTGCAGATGTTTGCTCCTGCTGGACAGGCATCGAGTTTTAATTACAAAAGACTCATAGCATTGTTTTGTTGGGAGTTAGTGATGCAAAGTATAAATTCACACTGGTTGATATTGGTGATAGTGGGCGGCAAAGTGATGGCAGCGTGTATGCCAACAGCAATCTTGGCTATGCTATTGAAAACAAGCTTCTCAACATGCCCACAGATGGCAAGATTACCCATTCAACGAAAGTACTACCCCACGTATTTGTAGGGATGATGCATTTGGCCTAAAACGCACATGATGAAGCCCTATCCTTTCAAACCTGTCTGAGAGGAAACTAATTTTCAATTACAGGCTAAGCAGAGCCAGACATGTCATTGAAAATGCTTTTGTATATGTGCTAGTCGGTTTCGTGTGTTTCATAGGCCTATAGTTGCCAAAGTTGATAATGTGATTGCCATAACTAAAGCTGTTGTGGCATTGCATAACTTCCTTATGAGCATAAATGAAGATGACGATTCAAATCTATACTGCCCGCCATCATTTGCTGATCAAGATGGGCAAATGGGTAATGAGTTTAACCCTGGTGAGTGGCGACAAGATGCAAATTGTATGAATGGATTGGGTGACATTACAGATGTTGGTGCGTCAAAATAACTATGGTGCAGAAGCTAAGTGGGTTCGTGAACAATTTGCTGATTATTTTAATTATGAAGGAGCAGTTGACTGTCAGTGGCATATAGTAAGGTGTTCAAAATAAACAAATTTAAAGCTATTTATATTCAATATGAGCATTAGTGATATGATGGGTTTTCATACGAAAGGAGTTTTTCACTTATGTAATTAGCAATACATGTTTAAGCTGTAATTTTAAATGATTTCACTTGCTATATATC